CAGTGAGACCAAATGGACCAGTGAGACCAGATGTACCAGTGAGACCAAATAGACCTGTGAGACCAGATGGACCAGTGAGACCAGACGGACCAGTGAGACCAGACGGACCAGTGAGACCAAATGGACCAGTGAGACCAGATAGACCAGTGAGACCAAATGGACCAGTGAGACCAAATGGACCAGTGAGACCAGATAAACCAGTTAGACCAGATAGACCAGTGAGACCAGATAGACCAGTGAGACCAGATAGATCAGTGAGACCCAGATGGACCAGTGAGACCCAGATGGACCAGTGAGACCAAATAGACCTGTGAGACCAGATGGACCAGTGAGACCAAATGGACCATTGAGACCAGATGGACCAGTGAGACCAAATAGACCTGTGAGACCAGATGGACCAGTGAGACCAAATAGACCTGTGAGACCAGATGGACCAGTGAGACCAGATGGACCAGTGAGACCAGATGGACCAGTGAGACCAGATAGACCAGTGAGACCAAATGGACCAGTGAGACCAGATAGACCAGTGAGACCAGATGGACCAGTGAGACCAGATGGACCAGTGAGACCAAATAGACCTGTGAGACCAGATGGACCAGTGAGACCAAATGGACCAGTGAGACCAGATGGACCAGTGAGACCAAATAGACCTGTGAGACCAGATAGACCAGTGAGACCAGATGGACCAGTGAGACCAAATGGACCAGTGAGACCAGATGGACCAGTGAGACCAAATAGACCTGTGAGACCAGATAGACCAGTGAGACCAGATGGACCAGTGAGACCAGATGGACCAGTGAGACCAAATGGACCAGTGAGACCCAGATGGACCAGTGAGACCAGATGGACCAGTGAGACCAAATAGACCTGTGAGACCAGATGGACCAGTGAGACCAGATGGACCAGTGAGACCCAGATGGACCAGTGAGACCAAATGGACCAGTGAGACCCAGATGGACCAGTGAGACCAGATGGACCAGTGAGACCAAATAGACCTGTGAGTCCAGATGGACCAGTGAGACCAAATGGACCAGTGAGACCAGATGGACCAGTGAGACCAAATAGACCTGTGAGTCCAGATGGACCAGTGAGACCAAATGGACCAGTGAGACCAGATGGACCAGTGAGACCAAATGGACCAGTGAGACCAGATGGACCAGTGAGACCAGATAGACCAGTGAGACCAAATGGACCAGTGAGACCAGATAGACCAGTGAGACAAAATGGACCAGTGAGACCAGATAAACCAGTGAGATCAGATAGACCAGTGAGACCAGATAGACCAGTGAGACCAGATAGCCCAGTGAGACCAGATAGACCAGTGAGACCCAGATGGACCAGTGAGACCAGATGGACCAGTGAGACCAGATGGACCAGTGAGACCAAATGGACCAGTGAGACCAAATAGACCAGTTAGACCAGATGGACCAGTGAGACCAGATAGACCAGTGAGACCCAGATGGACCAGTGAGACCAGATGGACCAGTGAGACCAGATGGACCAGTGAGACCAAATAGACCTGTGAGTCCAGATGGACCAGTGAGACCCAGATGGACCAGTGAGACCAGATGGACCAGTGAGACCACATGGACCAGTGAGACCAAATGGACCATTGAGACCAAATAGACCAGTGAGACCAGATGGACCAGTGAGACCAGATAGACCAGTGAGACCCAGATGGATGGAACCATGACCCCTAAATGAACCCTATTCTCCTCTAAAGCAGATGTATCCCATCAGACGTAGAACATTTACAGCATAACCATCCTCATGTTCTACAGGAGACATCCAGCTGGTCTAGTCCCTTCTAAACACCCAATCAGAACCTGGAGAACATCAGCATTCCTCTCAGCCAACTGACAGACACTAGGAACTTCAAAAGGACTCGTTCACCTTCTCAGTGGCCTAGTGGTGGAGAGTACATCCGGGGACTGGGAGAATGGGGTTCAAATCCTGGTCGGGACATTCCAAAGACCTTAACAACAGGACCTAATGCCTCGCTGCTTGACTCTCAGCTTTACGAGGTTGAATCGGGGGGTTAGACCACCAAATAGTTCCTGAGCGCAACCACCGCTGCAGCTCACCACTCCCCACGGGGACAGGTCAGATATGGAGATGATTTCACCAGTGTGTGAAGACTACGGGACTTTAACCCTTTAGAAAAGTTCTCTTTGAACTAAACATCTCCTCAGGTCTGGAGATGATCTGAGAACCTCTGCAGGAGAAACGTCCTTCAGAACCCGCAGGATGGACAAAATGTTCCAGGTCCATCAATCTAATCAGGTCCACACATAAAAGCTTCGAAGCTCTTAGACGTTCCTCTGGGATTGTCAGGAACACCTCAAACTTCACACCTACGGTTCAGGTTGACCTTTAACCTCCAGGGCAAACAGGAAGTCTGACCGAGGAAACGCCGACAGGAGCCTGGTTGTTCTCTCTCAGAAAACTAACTCAGCTCGGCTCGTTCTTTATTAAACATGACGGCCGTCCTGCTACGTGTGTTTTGCCCTCATTCTGCCAGCTGTTACTTTCTAAAGCATCAGAGGAAGTCAGCCAGCTTGGTCTGTGGAGGACAGGAAGTGGGGTCTACAAAATAAAAGACTGTAACTAAAATACCTGCTGTGTTATTTATACCGTTTCTGTGATTGATGAGAACAAAACTATAATCTGGATTATTCTCTTGGTAAAGTAAACATGTTTGGATAAAATCACTGAAAAACATCTAATCTATGAACAAAACCCAGTCAGTCTCTCTGAAAACAACATTTATACACAAAGTCCTGAAAGACGTCCTACGAGGACATGTCCCCCAGACCCTGAGGACCGTGGAGGAGATGGAACCAGCCCGACTAAACCAGAACCCTGTTTTCATCTGATGATTCCTGATGCAGAAAGGGTCAAAGGTCACGCCTGAGCCCAGGATGAACTTGACTCCTGTTGTTCAGCAGAACAGAATCATTGTCCCACATTCCTGAGTTTAACCAAAGTCAGCTGAGTTCCTCCTAAACGGGTCCAGTCAGACAGACACAGAACGGGTCTGTCAGCTCTGATGAGGCCATGGGCGGCTCCGGCGTGACTCCAGGAAACCAGAACCGTCTGACCGCCCCGGTTCCTCCAGAGAAATCCGCTGAGAGGAGAACTTTCTCTGCAAACACATCAAGAAGTTCCAGCAGAACCCGCCTCAGCACCCTTGCTAAAGCCCAGACAGGAAGGTCCTGACCCGTTTGACCTGCTGCAGGCTCCTAAAGCCAGGGTCTCACCTGCTGGACACGAGCTGGGGACGGGGACACGAGGTGGGGACGGGGACACGAGGTGGGGACACGAGCTGGGGACACAAGCTGGAGATGGGGTCACGAGCTGGGG